GAAAGGTCAATCTAGTTTCTGTAAACTATAAGAGATCTCTTCGTGATTCACCCAATAAAGTTTTGAATGAATTATGTATGTAACAAATAAAACAACAACATATAATAAAAACAAGTAAAATATATGGACATATTGGTCATAAATATCTGACATTATTATCCCAATTTTTCCCTTCAAGATATTTTAGCGGGGTAATGGTTTTGTGACCCATTACAAATTTATTTTTAGTTTTATGACCTGATCTCATTTTTTACACATGGAAAATTTATTTTTACACATAAGAAATCTATCTTTTATACATAAAATATCTAAAAAAGATACTTTCTTAATTTCAACATTATAAAAAGCCACAAAAGCATATTTTTACTATTTAAGTGAATCATGGGTTGCATTCTGAGGGGTCGTTTGGTGCGAGGGATAAAATGAGATAAGATGTGAGATTAAATTTATACCGTCTTTGGTTGGAGGTATAAATTTATCCTAGGATAAATTTATACCTCCAACCAAATACGGCATAAATTTAATCCCAGACTTAATCCAGGATATCCCATTTTATCCCACCTTATCCCTTCAAATGTGGGATTATTTTGTCCCATCTCTCATGTGGTATAAATTAATCCTGGGATTATAATTCCGGAATAATTTAGTTCGCCTACCAAACGACCCCAGGATAACTTATGGAAAAAATTATTCAATTCTTCAAATGAATATGCAAGGTGAACTAACATTTTTTAAAATTATATTTACTATTTAGTGCCATATAACAAACTAAAATCATTTAATTTTTTCTTAGATTAGTTATTTTCTTTAGCTCACATTAACATTTCTCTTGAACGTATGAGCGTTAATGAAAGTCTTATACTCCTTGCATTAAGAAAAAATAAATGAAGTACGTATTTTATGATTTTACGCATCACAATGATAACAAAGTCTTGGAAAATATTTTGAGAAATGAATAGTTCACGATAAGAGTAAAGTAGAAAAAAAGATTGTCTTAATCTTGATTTAAAAGAATAGTGTACTTTTTAATTTTGTTTTTATATTAATGAAAAGACTTCATTATTATCTTTAATAATAAATATTTGTGATTATTTATCGACTTATATAACATTAACTATTAAGCAAATCTCTTTTTTTTCCTGGTAACATCAACTTTCATTAATTACCAAGTAAAATATTTACAAACCCAGCTAGACTTTATACTCAGTCTGCTGTTCATATGGAAAACATATCCACAGTAAGAGAAACTATCCTATACACATTAACTAGGAAATCTGAAATTCTGTAAAGTCACAGGTATATGATATTTCTCTAGCTATAGCATCACTAGTTTTCGCTTTCTGCATAAAAACTCTGTTATTTCGTTCAATCCATATTGCATATATGAACTCCATATATACCAGCTTTAATATTTTTGCTTGCTTTGTCTTTCCTCTTGTTCTCTGCTCTATCCAACTCCACAGTTGTCCCCATGTCATCATTGATGGCCAATCAGTTTGTATCCATGCCATTAGTTTACTCCACACTCTTCTGCTAACTTCACATTCAGCAAATAAATGGTCTTTGATTTCCTCTGCTAGTTTGCACATTTGACAACTTGTATCTATCTATATACCCCAACTTTTTAGTCTTGTAGCTGTGAGTAATCTGTCTTGATGTTGAAGCCATGTTACGAAGACTGCTTTTGGTCTTGCTGCATTCCCACACATTAGGTTCTTCCAGGTGACTTATGGTAGATCTCCTATCATTTTCAGGTAGATGGTCCTAATTATGCTCCTGGTCTCTAATGACTTATGTTCCACATTGCTCAATTCCTCTCTTGCCTTGAATATTTTCCTTAACATCCAACTTGCTTGCTAGGGTATGGGCATATTTACTAACTACTTTCCTTTTATATAATACTCATGTATCCATTTGATCCACATGGTATCTTTCTTACTATGTAATTCCCAGCAAGTTTTAACTATAACTGCTTTGTTCCAGATCTTCAAATTTGTGAGGTTAATTCCTCCAGCTGACTTTGGCACACACATTCTACTCTAGGAGACCAATGCTTTTCTAGTTATTTCATTTGCTCTTGACCAAATATAACTTCTGCAGTAAGCTTCTATGGCCTTCATCACTTTGACCGGTATTATGAACATCTGGGCACAATAAGATTGAACTCCAAACAAAACTGACTTCACCAACTGGACTCGACCAATAGTGAAAACTTCTTTGCTACACATGAAGCCACCCTTGTAGTGATCTTGGATATTAATTGTTGTCATTCTACCATCTTCAGCTTCCGTGTAGCCAGTGGGATCCCTAAATACCTAAAAGGTAATTCCCCTTGCCCATATTCCAGCAGTTGCTGAATATCATGTCTGGGAGGATCTGGTACTGCACCAAAATATAGAGCACTCTTTGACATGTTAGCTTGTAAACCTGAAGCATCCGTGAAGTTACCAAACTTTCTGTGCACTAGACCTACAGAAGTTAGATCTCCGTTAGCAAACATTAATAGGTCATCCGCAATTTGACATCTAAAAGCACTTTTTGAAAAGCTTGGCGAAACACAAGTTGTTGTTCAAAACTACTTTTTAATGATTAGCCAAACACAATCTGCTTTTCTCCAAAAGTATTTTTTTGAAAAGCATTTAAAAAAAATACTTCTCAAAATAAGCTGATTTTTTCAGCTTGGCCAAACGGGCTATTAGTATAGTAGACAATCTTAGTATATTGGACAAGTACAATTGAAGGGAGAAAGTACTCCCTCCGTTCACTTTTAGTTGTCAAGTATTTTAAAAATAAATTTTCATTTTTACTTGTCACTTTTTGCATACCAATAAAAAAATAATTTATTTTTCATGTTTTGCCCTTAACATTAATTAGTATTTTAAATTATTTTTCAAATCTATTAAGACTACACATCAATTAATATGAGTATCATGGTAAATTATGCATTTTATTTATTGTTTCCTAAGGGGCGTGCAAAGTCCAAAGTGGACAAGTAAAAGTGAATGGAAGGAGTAGTATTTTAATATTTTTTCACTTTTTCATCAATTCCCATGCAATATGAAACTGGACAACTAATTAAAAGAAGAGATTTTTACATTCCTATACCATATAGGAAACCTTATTACCCTCAATGTTTAAGGTTTGATATAATTACATTTAGTATACCAAATTACCAATTCTATACCATAGTGTATTTTAAGGGTACAATTAATGCAGCGTATATCCCTCCTTAATTTAAGGTACTGTATATCCCACCCCTCTCACGTTTCTCTCTCCCAAACCCTCACCCTCACCCACGTTTTAGTGAGGGATTTCTTTTCTTCATGCCCTCTTTTTTCCTTCATATGCTTATCAGTTCAGAAATTGATTCCTGGGCTTCTAGAATGAGCATTGCTTTACGTTTCAGTTGTGTAGAATATCCAGAACGCAATTCTTTCAGGTTGGAGTTGAAGGATGTTTCAGTTAAATTCATTCAGATCTGCAAAATCTGTTGTTCCCAGGCTTCCACTAGCTGGACACTCTTCTTTTGCGTTGGAGATTTTTGCACATTATATGTACAAGTTGTCACAAGCTTTAACTTAGCTCCATGTGTTATTTCAATATTTATTCTTCTTAAATCATAAAGATTCGTCCAATCTCATAAATGGAATTTTCGACATAATTGCGTTTTTTGCAGAAGATTTGTAGAAGTTTTAGTCGTTTTTGATTTGTGAAAACAGAAAACAAAGCATCTACAATCAGAATACAAATAATCTACAATTTATCTACAAAATATCTACAAACTGGGTACATTGAATTTTAATATCCCAATTCCCATTCAATTGTAGCATAATTGGGATTTTTGACATAATTGCGTTTTTTCAGAAGATTTGTAGAAGTTTTAGCCGTTTTTTATTTGTGAAAACAGAAAATAAAGCATCTACAATCAGAATACAAATAATCTACAATTTATCTACAATTTATCTACAAACTGGGTACATAGAATTTTTATATCACAATTCTCATTCAATTGTAGCATAATTGGGATTTTCGACATAATTGCGTTTTTTGCAGAAGATTTGTAGAAGTTTTAGTCGTTTTTGATTTGTGAAAACAGAAAACAAAGCATCTACAATTAGAATACAAATAATCTACAATTTATCTACAAAATATCTACAAACTGGGTACATTGAATTTTTATATCCCAATTCCCATTCAATTGTAGCATAATTGGGATTTTTGACATAATTGCGTTTTTTCAGAAGATTTGTAGAAGTTTTAGCCGTTTTTTATTTGTGAAAACAGAAAATAAAGCATCTACAATCAGAATACAAATAATCTACAATTTATCTACAATTTCTGCAATATGTCTTCTTCTTCTTCTTCTTCTTCTTCTTCTTCTTCTTCTTCTTCTTCTTCTTCTTCTTCTTCTTCTTCTTCTTCTTCTTCTTCTTCGAGTTTCAATCTGAAATTCAGTCAAAACCAAGTCTAATCTTCACCAAAACCCCTCAAAATTGAGATATAAACTCCAAACCATATTCCCGATTATTTTCAACAACACCCAATCCAAACAAATAATGATTTTTGAAAACCCAAATTTGAATTCAAAGCTTTCAAGCTTTTTAATAGCTGTCAATGGATTTTAAATTGAAGATATAGGATTTGCGTTTCAAATTTGATCTGAAGGTCGCGAAATCAATTAGAATATTCTATTCCTGATTTGTAGCGCGCCTAATTAGGAAGATTCAGCTACTAATAATTAGTATTTAATAAATGGTACAATAATTGTAGAAAAACTGTGAACATAGCGGGTTAAATTAGAAACTATGCACATATTTGATAATAAAGTTTTCATATATGGTATAGGAGGGAAAAAATTTGTTAAAATAATTGATAACTTTCATACTTGTTTGTTAGATGAAGTAGATTGCATAGGAAATTCTATTTTTTTCCCAATGGGGGCAGTATTGTCAATTACTTAGTAACGTCTGAACGTCATTGAAATCCCCTGTTTCTTTTTTCCTTTTCCTCGTATTAAAGTGGGAGTGCTTCACAGTTTGTTCATCTACTTCCATAATCATCACTGTTTCGATTTTCACGTCTTCAATTATTCGATCTTCTTTCATCAAATTTTCAGCTCATAAAAACTATCAATTTCAACAATATATTCCTTTTCCTTTATCCGGTTCGTTTCATATTTCGGACTTCAGCATTTATTGTCCATTTGTTTGTTTCACTTCTCAAACCACTGATAAAGTATAAACTCAGAGGTTTTCCCACTTGAAGTTTGTCCTGCTACTGGGTTTCAAATTGGTTCAGTTTTGCTCAGTGCTGATCTTGTTGACGGCGTCGTTTTGCTTTCGATCATGACGTCGGGAACAAGGATTCCGACGTGGAAGGAGAGGGAGAACAACAAGAGGAGAGAGCGTAGGAGAAGGGCCATTGCTGCTAAAATATTCGCCGGATTAAGAATGTACGGTAATTACCAACTCCCTAAACATTGCGATAACAATGAAGTTCTTAAAGCCCTCTGCAACGAAGCCGGCTGGACTGTCGAGCCGGACGGTACCACCTACCGCAAGGTATTTCATACTGCATTGAATTTATGTAGCATGTTATTTACTTTTCAAGTCTTAAATTTCGCAATTTGTAATTATTTTTTAGGTGCAATTATTAATTCCTACATGTTCAAAAATTCTTCATTAGAAATATAGAACTACTGAACTAGTACCGTGGCGCACGTTAGATGGTTGCGGTTTTATCGGATCAATTTATGCTAATTAAAGTGCGCAGGTTGCAGGCTGTACTACGTACTGCAAAAGTAATCTGCACCGGGCAGGTGTTTGTTGAGATTGCTGTTAATACTTGCGTCATGGTATTAGATTAGATTCTTCTTTGGGCTTACTTTAATCATCGGCTTACGTTAGATAGACAGAGGTTGTTCAACACTTTATTTTTTTTTAATAACTGTGGTCCAACCAGTTTGCACATTACTTATCATTTTTTTTCAAGTTAAATGCATGTCCAAATACAATTTCAACTTTCAAAATTATTTTTCATTGCATCTTCAAAAATTCATTATTTCAAGTTTCAGTCAAATCTATGTCCAAACACTTGCTTAGCTGTTTCGACATTGAACACACGAGACCCTTTCTGTTTGTTTTCTGCTTTATTGAACCCTGAGTTGCAAATTTGCAAAGATTCCGCAGTTTAATCAGTTCACACCTGAAAAAGTGCGTTGGGATCGAGAAGACAATAATACCCCTGCAATATTTTTACTCTAACTCCTTGGGTGTTCACATGTCTGCCTCGATTTAGGGGTGGGTCTTTAACAATATAGGAGAATTGTACTGACTTATGTTTCTTTTTTCTGCTTTTTGTGTCGTGCCAAACATTCTTTTCTTTTGAGGGAGAAGGTGGGGAGTTGAGGTCATCACCTTGCTTAAATGTTGAAAATGCCTTTTTTCAGCTTTAGAAATGGGTATTTCCCTCTTTCTCTTGCCGTTCTTGTGAAAGATTCTTTATTAGACAGCTACATTATTTATGGAGTGATATAAAGGGGTGTTCAGCATTGCCTTCAGGGGCCCTGCCTATAATAATTCTTTTATTTGCTTAGGTGCCTGTCCTATTTCACATGTCTTTCCTTGTAATCAGTGAAAAGATGTAGTGAAGTGCATCAACTAAAATGGGACGGAAGTAGGAGACTAATTTGAGTGAACTCAATTATTTGGAGTTCAGTTTAAGTGATTCTCTATGCATGCTCTTACCTCTGCATGTAATAATACAACTTTTGACAGTCCCTTGAAGCAAAATGTTACACTTTCTTTTACATCTTTCTGATACTTATTCATGACAATTTAATGTGTGAGTAAGGTATGAGGGATATGTGTTACAAGTGGAACTTTAGACAATTTATTGCGTGATAGAATTGATTATGCATCTGTTTTTGAGACAATCTGAAGCCTGCTAAATCTGAAGCCTGCTAACTAGCAACAAGAGGACCCAGTATTATTTATCTGATTATCTACTCTCATGTCTCAATGCACAATGTGAGATGTTATCTTCTCTTCCTTGTTGTACCTTTTAGTTGAACTGATCAAGTAGAATAAAATTGGAGGCCTTTTTATGTTAAAAAGACTCTGAATATCATAGTGTTGTCTTGGTCATATAAGTTGTACTGTTATTATTTTAGAATAAAAGGTACCTTCTTTAATATGAGGAACTTAAAAGCAGCAGAGATCTGGAAAATGATAAGCCAGGGTAATCGTTGTGGATGATATTGGAACTTTTGCTTTTTAATTGCGGACAATGTAACTCTGTAACAGTTAGAATAAGTAATTCCAATATTTGGCTATACCTGGCTTGCTAGATATTGTAATCAGTTTGTCTATTGTAATACCTCTTGAGATTTCTTGATATCTTTGAACTGCAGGGCTGCAAGCCAATGGAGAGATTGGATTTTATAGGTGGTTCCACATCAATGAGTCCATGTTCATCTTACCAGCCGAGCCCTTTCACTTCCAACAACCCAAGCCCTGCTTCATCTTCCCTGCATAGTCCAGCTTCTTCCTCTTACGCTGCAAACCTGAACATGGACGGAAAATCCCTCATCCCGTGGCTTAAAAACCTCTCTTCTGGATCCTCATCAGCTTCCTCCTCCAAGCTCCCTCATTTTCATATTCTTACTGGCTCTATTAGTGCTCCAGTGACCCCTCCTTTTAGCTCGCCAACTGCCCGAACTCCTCGATTAAAAACTGATGCTGGCTGGGCTGGATTTCGCTACCCTTTCCTTCCCTCATCTACACCAGCAAGCCCTGTTCGTCAGACCTTCACTGGTTCAGAATGGCTTACTGGAATTAGTGGACCACCTTCTCCAACATACAGTCTTGTCTCGTCGAACCCGTTTGGCTTCAAAATGGATGGCCTTGCTTTATCTCACGGTGGATCTCGTATGTGTACTCCTGGGCAGAGTGGTACATGTTCACCTGCAATTACTGCAGGCTTGGATAATACCGCTGATATTCCCATGGCTGAAGTGATTTCGGATGAGTTTGCATTCGGAAGCAATGCAGGAGGTATGGTGAAGCCGTGGGAAGGGGAGAGGATCCATGAGGATTGTGGTCCAGATGATCTTGAGCTTACTCTTGGCAGCTCAAAGACCAGGTTTGTCAGCACAAATCCTATATTTATTGCTTATTTGTTCTTAAGAATTTATATACTTCAGTAAGCCTAAAAGATATTGCAGTTGATCTTCCATAAAAAAGTATTTGCGTTGTCTATGTATATACAACTATACGTTGTTAAACTGATTTTCTTTCCCTTGTTTTGTTTTATTTATTATTTTTTTTCTTTGGGGTGTTTCTCATAAACAATACATTTTGCAGGTAAAACTTAGAAGTGTGAAAGCCAGCAGATGGGCTTCTATTAAACGAGGTATGCTGGGGTTAAAATGGAAAGGATTTAGGCTGTTACAGGAGTTGCTGTTTTTATTGCGTCCACACCTTCCCCTTCCCAATCCAACTGTAATCTCGTTTAAGTCAAGAATACGGTTCTTAATTATGAGAGGAACTTTGAAATCAGGACATAATGTTTGTGTTCTTTCAGTACTTTAGTGGTGGATAAAATTTTATGACTGCCCTGAAGGAAAGAAACGGAAACCAGAGGAGGTGATCACCAGATTCTATGGTTATATATTCCAATAAATCTATGGAAGAACAATAGTTCTATATTATATCATGTCTGCACACTTATTCTCAAATTACTGCTGGCATACCAATGATTATTTCCCTTCTTACCAAGACTCAGCAACCAGCTGAAGAACAAGGAAAGTAGCCATTAGAACAACAATTAAGTTAGTTGGAGTTTGGTTGTATAATTCCTCATTTTACCATCTTCATATGAGCTCTTAAAAAACATATAATGTCAATAGAATCTCCTTTGGGATAATAATTTGAGGTTCATAATTAAGGAGTTCAACTTTTTGGGTATTCGACTTGCACGCTATTGATGACGAGTGCTACCAAAAATCCAGTCCATGTGAAAGTATTTGCCACGCCATGAATTGTGGCACGTGACCTCTGTTTTATTTCATATAGAATATGGTGAGCTTAGATAGATTTCAAAGGAGGAATGTGATGCTTTCAAGAGTAAGCAGGTAGACGAATCACAAAAAAGCAAGTATTGAAGGAATGGATCAGAAAATATTTTGCACCAGCTATTCAAGGAGAACAATGTACCACTTAGGTAAAGAGGTAGTGCCAATTTGAAAATATGAGCGAGTGTATAATATGTTCAGATTTTACGATGATGAGTCAGAGGCTGATCTCCAAAGCTGATGAGGCTATTGCGTTGAGCACTCAGGGCGGATCTAAAGGTATGAGTATGGGTTCCTGGGAAACCAGTAGCTTTTAGCTAGATTCTGTATTTGTATTAAGAAAATCATTCAATGTGTTAGAATAGTCATGTAATTAGGAGTAAATAACCCTAATCCAATATGTATTAGGAGTAGGATATGTTATGTGTGTATATAGGGCTCATTGTATCGTGTTAAACACAAGTCAATATTAATCAATAATATTTTCTCCCGTGCATTCTCACATGGTATCAGAGCTTTAGTGAGAAACATATCGCTGTGCATCATTCCAGCGACTTCCGGGAAGAAAGACCTCGTCGCCGTGCAATTTTCCGGCGACTTAGAAGGTTGCCCGTAATCACATCAATTTATGTTGGTGTTTTCAGAAAACCAACACCACCACAAGACTCCTCAGGCTCCGGCGACCAAACCCCAGTAAACCCCACCGGAAAAATCAAGTTCACGTGCCCTCACGCGCCAGAAAATCACCGGCGAGATCTGACCCACACTCTCCACGCGCCGGCGCGTGAACACTGTTCCTGCCATTTTTCGAGAAACTTCCAGTTGGACAGTCGGATCGCCTAGTGATTTCGAGTCTGTCCATACCTTTTTCGTTTGATTCCGACCACTTTGAGTTTTTCCGGCGACTACACTGACTTTTTCCGGCAGCTACAGTAATTTTTCGGCAAAAACAGTGTTTCCTTCATCTGTTTCAGCGAGTTGTCAGTTGATTTTTTTCTGTTATTTGGTGATAATACAACGATGTCTTTGGGAGTCGATGCTTTCGGGTCTAGAAACCCGGGTTCTGGCAGTTCCGGTGTTATGATTACCTCAGAACCTTTAATGGGAGGTTCAAACTACTTAGCTTGGGCTTCGTCTGTCGAGTTGTGGTGTAAAGGTCAAGTAGTTCAAGATCATTTAACAAAAAAAGCTAGCGAAGGTGATGAAAAGGCCAAAACACTGTGGGAGAAGGTCGATGCTCAGTTATGTAGTATCCTGTGGCGATCTATTGATTCCAAGTCGATGCCCTTGTTCCGTCCATTCCAGACATGTTATTTAGTTTGGGAAAAGGCTTGTAATTTATACACTAATGACATATCTCGTTTCTATGATGTAATATCGCGAATGACAAGCTTGAAGAAACAGGAATTGGATATGTCTACTTACTTGGGACAAGTACAGGCAATCATGGAAGAATTTGAGACGTTGATGCCAGTTTCTGCTAGTATTGAAAAGCAACAAGAGCAACGACAGAAGATGTTTCTAGTTCTTACACTAGCTGACTCCCTAATGACCTTGATTCAGTACGTGACCAGATTTTGGCTAGTCCGGCTGTCCCCACAGTTGATGAATTATTCTCTCGATTACTTCGCCTTGCTGCAGCACCAAGTCACCCAGTGAGCTCATCACAGACACTTGACTCATCTGTCCTCGTATCCCCAGTCAG